GGCCTCCTTACCGATTCTGACCAGAAACTGGCGCACAGAGCTGGGATCGAACCCGCGCCTCTCTGCGCCAATCTTGGTACTCTGAACTGTAACCACTGGGCCACCCTGCCCAACCACACCTGGGCCACCCTGTTTTTAGCGCTAATATATATTGATATGCGGCAGGGGAAGAGTGAGTTGTATTTTTTCAACTTGGCTCTTCTAAAAATTAAGAGATACGAATATTTCGGAACGTATGATTGGATTACGAGTCTCACAGGTGAGAGGTCGAGGTAAGCAGTGTTGAGGTTGAGGATCTCAAGACGCTCGACGCCTGACGAGTCGACGACCGGTATACCAGCTGAACTGCACGGTCACAAATGATTAAATAGAGCACTCTCAGTTAATTAATCCAATGATAAATTATTATCAGTTAATAAGAAGTGAAAAAAATAAGGCCACCAATTTTAGAGATGTAACAGCTCGGGTTAGTTTCGTCAAAAGCTAACTGCATATAAAGATACACATGACTTTTATTGAACAATTGTATTATATTATTCCAATTTCTCAGTTAAATGCATGTAAGCACACACGTGACTTCAACTAATAAACAATTGTATTATTATTCTGATTTCCTAAAACAATTTTAATGTTACGGAGACTTCTACAAGCTATTTCGTGTAGTCCAAAACGTTTCAACAGAATGAATTACTATATAGTAATCTTAAAAGAATTTTAATGTTACGGAGACTTCTGCAAGCTATTTCGTGTAGTCCAAGACGTTTAGACACAATGAATTACTATATAGTAATGTTACCGCGTGAAAGGCAGGCAATATCATCTATTACTCATTAATATATAGTAATATATAGTAATGTAGTTTTTAATGTAATTTAATTATAGTAATATATTATATAGTAATATAATATACTTATCTCATTACTAGATAGTAATGTTACCGCGTGAAAGGCAGGCACGCGGGAGCGCGAGGTCCCCTGAAGAAGCTGTCGTGAGGCGACACGTTGATAGGTGCGCAGCCTGGGTGCTGCAACCACGAGCTGCAATTTGGACATCGTAGGTTTTTCCCGGGATTTTGGGGATCTGTCAGTAGAAATTTGGGGAAAGGAAATTATATTGTAGGTATTTTTAGCGCATTTTCTCATTTATGGAAAAAATGCACTATTGTGCTCGCCATGTCCGTCTGTCTGTCTGTCTGTCCGTGGGAAACCTCTGTGTTTCCCTCGCCAGCTGCAGCTCAGCTGTTTTTCCAGCCTTAATTTTCGAGGGAACTTTACTATACTCAACTCAACTCAGTCGTATGTTTCTCCGTCCTTTTTCTGTATTTTTCTCCGTTCAAGAGATCTAGTTCGTGCATTTAATAATGTGGAAATGTTGCGTGTCTGCAGGGCAGCTTGCACTCAACAATTAAAATTATAAAAAGTACTAGTTCATTAAAGATTTGTCTCTTAATGTGACAGCAAAGAACTTTTCCATGATGCACACAATAAACACGCAATTCATGGGAGCTAGACTACATAGAACACGAAAGCAGGCTCCCGGCATGCAACTGACAGAAACAAATGACGATTGCGGATGCGGCAGCACGAGGCATAACGTTCATATGCTCAATGCAAGAGAATGATTAATTATGATATTTTTGATAGAGGTTTGAAATATTTTCAGAAGCCTAAAACGTGAACAAATTATTTCGTTACTCTGACATGGTTGATTTCAAAATAAATATATTAATGCAAATTCATGAGAAGCAATTAAAATATATTGAATGATGTTCATTTATATCTATAGGTGGAAGTAAACAATTACGAATCGATTTATTATCCTTTAAATAAGAATCTTTGCATTGAAACATCTTTATGATGTATCCATGATACTTTGCTGGTCTACTTATAGGACTCAAAAATGAACTTGAGGGAGAGTCTAAAAAACTCTCTGCTTTGCCACTATGTACCCTACTGTTCCAAAATTGCACTTTTCACACTCTTTTTCAGTGATTTTTTAGAGATAGTAAATGTTTGATTTCTTGACTAGCTTTATACATAGTAGATAGTAAAAATGTTGAAGTTTACGCTGCTATTTTTAGTTTTGCAATATTTTGATTAGTTTAGCTGCTACAACATTTCTACGAAATTTAGGATGCATGTCCGGGTTGTCCCTATTTACCCCGCCCGTCCCTTTTTACCCTGTTTGATGGTACCTATATTTTTTTTTGAATGACAACTATGAGACAATGGAAAAGCCTAACTTAGGCTAACTAAAAGCATTGCTGAAATTCTTCAATAAAGAAATATAGAGATAAATTTTTTATTGTAATTTTTTAAAATTAGGTATTTATCATTTTTACCTGCAATTTTTGAAAAGCTCTGCCCAGTATTCTACATTGGCTCACAGAGTTGTAGCTCTTTTGTGCACTTTATTTACAATTAGATTGTAAATAATTCATCTAGAAGACATATTAGGGTTTCCAAGATAGTGCAAATGCTCTAACTGCAATTCGGAAAGTAGGCTAGACACATTCCTTTCTGAAAATTCAGGCATTCAGGCTGAAGGCCTGAGCAGCGAGCTGAAGCCAGCTCTCAATGAAAGAATTACGCCTGTGTGGCGGTTCAGTAAAACGGTAAAATAGATATCAACTAAAAAATAAATTATCTTTCAGTGAACGCATCTCACCTGAGGGACTAAGTCTACAGGATTGCACGATGGATCCCTTTCCTCTGTCATTTTGTGGGTATTAATAACATTCCCAATAGCCTTCAAGCCCGTCCCGGCTGTGGATAGTCTCAACTCAAAAAGTTAGCAATATTGATACCTAGGGTGTCAGAGTAAACTGGAGATATGAGCATTAATATTCAAGTAAATTACAAGTCGAGAAGTATATCACATTTGAACCAAAGAACTCTGTTTTAGTGATAAATACAGTTTGCATCGCAGACAACGTCTCAAGCGTCGATTCATTAATGGAATTTTTCTTCAAATAGGACCTGGATGTGTTTAACATGGTTGTATTTAAATCCAAGTGAATACTTCACGTTAGCGCTATAACTTTGACAAGTCCTTTTTTGTATAGAACATACTTCCTGAACAGTACACATGCCAGTTTTTTCGTGAAATCTTAGAAATGGCATGAGCAAAACTGAAGTTTAAAAAATCAATAGTTCATTTAAAAGCGTTTTTGAGTAAACGATTCAAAAGATAATGGTCATCAACGAGGTTGGGACGATTAATAGAAAAGGGTAGGAAATAACTTATTCGTTTTCATTATAAATATTTTTATTTCATAAATAGATTAAATTTCAATGAAAACCGCCACGAACGTTCCGTAAATCAAAGTTCGGAGGTCCATTTTCTATGCGGAAAAGCGGAGGTCCCGGAAGCCCAGGGATGAAAGGAAGAGCAGAATGTTGGGGCAACAGTAGCGGGCACACACGGTGGCAGTGCTCGTCCTCACGCGCCCCGGGGACGAAAGCGTCTAGGGCGTGGCAGTCGATCAAACGGTCCTGACACTGCAGCTGAAAGATCAACGACGAGGATTAATTATGTATTTTAATTAGAAAACCAGCCACTACAGGATATTGAAATTGCAATGAACTGGTATGGAGCAGCAAATAAATGTGTGAGATTTATAGACAAAAAAAAAATCGAAGACAAATTGTCAATGGAGGGCAAGAAATATTATCTTCAACAGTCACGCAAACCTGCAATGCTCTTAAGTAGCTCAGAAAAATATGCGGTGTGAGACTGCGGTCAGTCTCGAGATTCATAAATCTGGATGTAATACACATATAAAGCAAAAAATCTACTATTAGGCTTTTTAGATATAATGATTACCATATTTAATTCTCAATTATAAGAACAACAAAGTATGATCATTGGTCTAAAATATTTCTCGAACATCTCAATGTTCATTTCAACGAAAGAAACGACGTTCGTTAGCTGTGATGAGCCGCAAAGTGATGCTCTAGCATCCATGGACTATGACGAAGGCATCGCACGGAAGCGTTGATTACTCACATATCCACTGGGCGTGCAGTGGCAGTTGAGGCACGGAGAAACGTTCACAGTCTCTCCAGCGGCATATTCTCGCCCTGCGTGCTTGCAGTGCTTCGGGTGCAGTGCCCGGGGGTCCACCCATGGGTGCATGTCCGTGCCATGGAACGTCCTTGCTGCCACGGCAGGATTGCTGGTGACCAAAAACTCATTAAATAAAGATTTCATGCCAAAGAAAAAAATCACGACAGCGTGTTTGAATTTCGACATCCACTGTCTCTAACAATGATTTATTCTCAAACCATAACTTATTTTGTGTAGATAATCGTATTCAATATTCAGTGGTCAAATAGTAACTGATATTGGGCGGGCAATTCATCATAAGGGAAACACTCTCGTTCCGGCAGATAATTTGGACCTACAGTAATTCTGTCCTGCATAACTGGATTTACGTTTCATGCTGTTTCAGTTGTCATAATAGGAGATAGTACTCATAAGACTAGATAGTTACAGTTAATTACAGTTACATAATACAGTTGTCACAATATGTACTAGATAGTTTCCCCACGATAGTAACACATGTTTATCTTTTTCATTATTACATCATGGGCTCCGGAGTTATCGCCGACTCATGGACGATACCTGACCACGTTGGGGAGCCGCAGGGCAAAGCTGGGAACGAGGCTGTTGGGATTGTCGAAGTTTCGACCGATAAGTTTAGACAAAATCCCTGAAGCGTATACAGTCTTGAGCTCCGCTGGTGATAGTCCGGCTGGTCCACCGTGATACCTCCATGAATAATGAATAAAGAGTTATTCATTAAAGAGTTCATACAGAGTTATTTCATGAATAACATAAAATAGGTTTAAATAATGAAAAGTGGTTCTAGAGCATTCAGCTATAATTCAACTACCTTGAACAATGGTCGAGATATTGTTTATTTCAGTCTGTTCCTAAACTCGAAAATTTACCCATTCTGGTAAAAATCGACTTCGTCTAAATCCTATCAATCCCTGTCTATACCGAGGCGGCAGATTAAATATTATAACAAATTTTGATGAATAAATAAATGAATGTTATAATATTTTTGATAAATATTATAACAATTTAGATATATTTACAAGCTCACCAAAATCGATCACCGGTACTGGTGAGGTAAAACTGCAAGCTGATCAGGCAAGCAAATGTTGGCCCAACGACAGCGTTAGTGACAGGTTCTTCCGACTGTAAGAAAGAGCTTTGTGCATTAGACTACAAACGGCAAAACTACTATCCATTAGACACCATCAAATGGCCTAGATTTTAGAAGACTACATCATGACCATTTTAAAAAAAATTCTGAAGATTCAAAACCCAAAATATTTTTGTACGTACCAAACCACCAGCGAACAGGTCGATGTCATCCCAGTGGTCATACACAGACTTCAACTTATCCCTGTTCTCTACGGGGATGATAGGCACGAGGTCGTCCCAGGACTTGACAGCAGGAAGCTTGCAGGTCTCTCTGAACGCCGTGTATGGCGACAATCCGTGAACTCGACCTGCGGATTTTTACATCAATTTTTGTTAACTGGTGTAGGCCAAAAACTATAAATAATTGTCAACCGTATATCAAAGTAAAATTCAATTTGAAATATTAGGTATTATGCAATATAATATAATGCAGTATAATATTATATAATATAGAAAATAATATAATATGATGGCTTGCCATAGGGAGTAGGCTATCCAATCTATGAACAATGTAATGACCACACATCACGGCACCCAATTCGGACAGAAGTAATGTCACAGACAAAGGCGTGTATCACAATTGGACACTTGGTGGATTGGTAGCGGTCAGTAGTTGAGCAATTGCAAGCTAAGCACTGAAGATTTGTAGTGAAATGTTAACATTATTTATACCCACAATTGAAGCAGCGGTACGTTCATTTTAGACTTCTAAAATCACTCAAGGAACACAAGATCGTTTACCTCTGGCAATGTTCCTGGCGAACAGGTCTTGCCCGGAGAGAATATTGTCCTTGGACACAAACAGTTTGTCTTGGAGGCTCGTGACGATGCTCAAGTCTGGTGGCTCGATGCGGGAGCTCAGGAGACCTCGCAAGAGGGNAGTCATGATACTGAACGATGATTCATCCAGGCGACGCGACTCCTGTATATTGTCAACACAACCACTGCAGCTATTCAGTTTTTGTATGGGACACAAGTCATGATACTGAACGATGATTCATCCAGGCGACGCGACTCCTGTATATTGTCAACACAACCACTGCAGCTATTCAAGTTTTGTGTATGGGACATACGTCATGATACTGATCGATGATTCATACAAGTGTTCCGTTATGACTGGGTATAGTGAACGTTAAACCTATTCATTGATTTGCAAAATATTGTGATTAAATTCACTTGCTTCTAACACATAAAAAATATATACATATTCGAGTAATTGAGCCTGTTTGAGCGACTTAAGGATGATGGCAAATACGTTCCAAAAAGTGAAAATAAATGTGAACTAAATTTCAACTCCAAAACCAATTGTAAACTAATATTGCCCAGAATATGTAACTTTATTCCATATCATCTAAACATTAACCAAAAAGTTGTGATAATACATAAATATCAGACATTATCATCTCGCGATCAACTAATATATTAAGGTCATAGCTCACCTGGAAAATAAGTTCATCCTTCCAAGCAGGATTTATATTTTTCAGCTCCCGTGCGATGTGATTGTGTTCTCGCAGGAACAGCGTGTGGATCACGAGGAGACCAGCATGTTCGCTGGCTCTGTCAACACACCAAAGGTATCAAGTTCTCCTTAGCATCAAGTATTAAGTCTTGAAAATATCCGGTCAAATGACAAGATTTAAGATCTTCTATGAAATAAGTCACGATAAGTTCAAGATTCGGCGACAGGCAACATCAGGCCTACTCTTTAGCGTCGACATCACTATGTTATGTTATGTTACTGGTATGATACTGATAGAATATCTTACTGATTTTCTGAACTAATGCCTGAAAAGGTACTCGGACATGGAGATTTGTACCGTAAAAGTTAATGATAACAAGTTGAGAAATTTCTCTGAATTAAATGCAATGGCAAATGAATTCATTGCATCGATATAAAATCCTAGCAAGAGTCGCTGTTACGCCGCGAGCACCAAAGCAACCATTAAAAATATTAGATAAGTCACGTTCCTCGTACGTTTCAACAAGTTATTTTCCTTAGATTTTCCCGTAACTCTAAGAATAGCACAAGATTCAAAAGGGAGTAAAGTGCAATTGAGATCTGTTTTACCGGTCTTTGTCTTGATATATTTTTAACCCGATTATCAATAATCATATGTTCAGTCTTAAAATGCCCAGCAAATTACGGACCAGGCAATAAGTCCAGTACTGTAGGATCATCGAAGACCTTGACTAGAGGCAGCGTGCCCATGGGCCTGAGAGCCTCATCGGCCAGCACGAAGACATCTTTGACGAGCGTGTGGCCGAACCTGAACGCTGCCGTGCTGAACTCCACGAGAACCTCGGCGTTGCGTTCCGCGTTGTAGATCTACAGCAAGCGAGTTAAAATCATAGCAATAACATTAATTAAGTGCACGACATGGAGGCAGTTTTTCTTAAGGGTCAATAACATTAAGTACACGACATGAAGGTAGTTCTTCTTAAGGGTCAATAACATTAATTAAGTGCACGACATGAAGGCAGTTTTGCGTAAGGGTCATTTCGGGAATCACAATCAACCCAGTCTCATTAATGCTGAAAAACAAATCAATTATATTCAAATTTTTCAACCATGTATTACAAAACATTCACTATATCTAGTAGCTAGCTTCGGAAAGAAAGAATCCTGCTACGGATAAACAAAAATTATTATCTCTTAATGGAGTTACTTTAGAACTCTCAAACTTGAAATATAACCAACTCTCTTGCTTATCGCTAAGTTATTCACTGCTGTCTAAATTAAAGATTTCGATCAGTAAACGATGAGTTCGATACATTTGACGGGTGCTTACAGATCTCGGAAATGGGACAGGAGGAGGCTTGAGCTCGTAGCGCTGTAGCGTGTCGCTCGACCCCAGTAGCGTAGGTAGGAACTCGTTCATGACGATGTGTTGGTACTGAGCTATGTTTAGACGACGCGACTCCTGTATATTGTCAACACAACCACTGCAGCTATTCAAGTTTTGTATGGGACACAAGTCATGATACTGAACGATGATTCATCCAGGCGACGCGACTCCTGTATATTGTCAACACAACCACTGCAGCTATTCAAGTTTTTTGTATGGGACACAAGTCATGATGCTGAACGATGATTCATCCACGTTTTCCGTTATGACTGGGTATATATAACGTTAAACCTATTAATTGATTAGCACAATATTGTAATTAAATTTACTTCCTTCTAACACATAAAAAATATATACATATTCGAGTAATTGAGCGTGGTTAACGACTTGAGGATGATGGCAAATACGTTCCAAAAAGTGAAAATAAATCTGAACAAACTTTCAACACCAAACCAAGGGTAAACTAATATTGCCCAGAACATGTAACATTATTCCATATTATCTATACATTAACCAAAAAGTAGTGATAACACATAAATATCAGACATTACCATCTCTACTACCACCTCTTAATATATTAATATTACCAATTTGATATTAATTAAGATTAAGACCAATTTGATATTATTAATATTAATTAAGATCATAGCTCACCTGGAAAATTAGTTCATCTTTCCAAGCAGGATTTATGTTCTTCAGCTCCCGTGCGATGTGATTGTGTTCTCGCAGGAACAGCGTGTGGATCACGAGGAGACCAGCATGTTCGCTGGCTCTGTCAATACACCAAAGGTATCAAGCTCTCCTTAGTAGCAAGTATTGAGTCTTGAAAATATCACGAAAATATTGATAAATATCACGAAAATATTGAAAATAATGAGGATCCAACTATCCCAGAAAATATCACGAGGAGACCAGCATGTTCGCTGGCTCTGTCAACACACCAAAGGTATCAAGCTCTCCTTAGCATCAAGTATTAAGTCTTGAAAATATCCGGTCAAAGGACAAGATTTTAGATCTCTTCTATGAACAAGTCACGAGAAGTTCAAGAGCCGGCGACAGGCCACATCAGGCCTACTCTTTAGCGCCGACATCACTATATGTTATGTTACTGGTATGATACTGATAGAATATCTTACTGATTTTCCAAGGTAATGTTTGAAAAGGTAGTCGGACATGGAGATTTGTACCTTAAAAGTTAATGATAACAAGTTGAGAAATTTCTCTGAATTAAATTCATTGGTAAATGAATTCATTGCATCGATATAAAATCCAGCATCAAGAGTCGCTGTTATGCCGCAAGCACCAAAGCAACCATTAAAAATATCAGATAAGTCACGTTCCTTGTACGTTTCAACAAGTTATTTTCCTTAGATTTTCCCGTAACTCTAAGAATAGCACAAGATTCAAAAGGGAGTAAAGTTCAAATGAGATCTGTTTTACCGGTCTTTGTCTTGATATATTTTTAACCCGATTATCAATAATCATATGTTCAGTCTTAAAATGCCCAGCAAATTACGGACCAGGCAATAAGTCCAGTAGCTATCTCAATCAATCGTCAGTTATAGAAAGATCGGGTTCCAAAAGCCCTTGTGAATCAAGTCACGAAAAGTTCAAGAATCGGCAACAGGCCATGGGCATATTTCTTCAGTGCCGACACTTCTATTTTATTCTATAGCAGCTATCTCAATCAATCATCAGTTATGGAAAGATCGGGTTGCAAAGGCCGGATCCCTCGTGAATCAAGTCACGAAAAGTTTAAGAATCGGCAACAGACCATGGGCCTATTTCTTCAACGCCGACACTTCTATTTTATTCTATAGCAGCTATCTCAATCAATCGTCAGTTATGGAAAGATCGGGTTCCAAAGGCCGGATCCCTTGTGTATCAAGTCACGAAAAGTTCAAGAATCGGCAACAGGCCATGGGCCTATTTCTTCAACGCCGACACTTCTATTCTATTCTATAGCAGCTATCTCAACCAATCGTCAGTTATGGAAAGATCGGGTTGCAAAGGCCGGATCCCTTGTGAATCAAGTCACGAAAAGTTCAAGAATCGGCAACAGGCCATGGGCCTATTTCTTCAACGCCGACACTNGTATAAGAGACAGGGCCGGACTCGGTGCGGCATGCGTCGAAATGCTGGGCGGTGGCCAGGCCATGGGCCTATTTCTTCAACGCCGACACTTCTATTCTATTCTATTCAACTGGTCTCGCAATTTACAACTGATGCTCACCGATCGTCGCCGGCGCGGTAGCACAGGCCGGACTCGGTGCGGCAAGCGTCGAAATGCTGGGCGGTGGCCAGGACAGGCAGACCGTACGGGGATGACGGCATGTTGGTCGTGTGCATCTGGCCATCCGTGAACGTTCTTAACTCCCGCATGAGGCAGTCCGTGCTGCCATAAACCTGACCGGAATGATTTCGCCTCTCTGCGCCAATCTTGGTACTCTGAACTTTAACCACTGGGCCACCCTGCCCAACCACCCCTGGGCCACCCTGTTTTTAGCGCTAATATATAATGATATGCGGTAGGCGAAGAATGAGTTACATTTTTTCAACTTGGCTCTTCTAAAGGTTAAGAGATACGAATATTATGAAACGTATCATTTGATCACGAGTCTCACGGGCGAGAGGTCGAGGTATGCAGTGTTGAGGTTGAGGATCTCAAGACGCTCGATGCCTGACGAGTCGACGACCGGTATACCAGCTGAACTGCACGGTCACAAATGATCAAATAGAGCACTCTCAGTTAATTAATCCAATTATAAATTAATATCAGTTAATAAGAAGTACAAAAAATAAGGCCACTAAATTTAGAAATGTAACAGCTCTGGTTAGTTTCGTCAACAGCTAACTGCATGTAAGCACACACGTGGCTTCAATTAATAAACAATTGTATTATATTATTCCGATTTCTTGAAACAATTTTAATGTTACGAAGACTTCTGCAAGCAATTTCGTGTAGTCCAAAACATTTCGACACAATGAATTACTATATAGTAATCTTGAAAGAATTGTAATGTTACCGCGTGAAAGGCAGGCAATATCATCTATTACTCATTAATATATAGTAATATATAGTAATGTAGTTTTTAATGTAATTTAATTATAGTAATATATTATATAGTAATATAATATACTTATCTCATTCCAATATAGTAATGTTACCGCGTGAAAGGTAGGCACGCGGGAGCGCGAGGTCCCCTGAAGAAGCTGTCATGAGGCGACACGTTGATAGGTGCGCAGCCTGGGTGCTGGAGCCATGAGCTGCAATTTGGACAACGTAGGTTTTTCCCGGGATTTTGGGGATCTGCCAGCAGAAATTTGGGAAAAGGCAATTATATTATAGGTATTTTTTTATGTAATTATATTATTTAACAATGATTGGACAACGTAGGGTTTTCCCGGGATTTTGGGGATCTGTCAGCAGAGATTTGGGGAAAGGTAATCATATTATAGGCATTTTTAGCGCATTTTCTCGTTTATGGAAAAATTGCACTATTGTGCTCGCCATGTCCGTCTGTCTGTCCGTCCGTCTGTCCGTCCGTCTGTCCGTCCGTCCGTGACCTCAAGCTTTCGTCGACGAGAAAATGCGCTCTCTGTCACTCACTGCTGTGAGTACTGAGTTATATTTTTTATGAAATTATTATTATTTAACACTGAGATGTCCGGTTTCCAGATGGAAGGTAAGCACGCATATGAGTAGGTTAGTGTAGATGACGGAATACAAATTTTTTAAGCTAGCTCACGGTGGTCAAAATACCATAAAAATATGGTTACCCGAGATGCTGTACTAATAATTTTCTCCGGTAGATTGTTAAGTGAGCGTTTACTTGAACTAAGGTGACTATATCAAAAAAGTGCAAGATGATGGAAAGACCAAAAAATTCTATCGCACCCTGGACTAAAAAAAAACATAAGTACTTAAAGTGTGGTTGGTTTATGCACGCCATGGATGTGTTTACCCTCAACAAATGGAGTGATGACGAAATCATGGTCGATGAACTGCCCTAGGAAGACGAAGAATAAATTGATGTCGCTGTGAGTGCTCCGGACATGCGAGTTCTTGGTGGCCTCGCTCACCGTCCGCGGGTTGGGCAAGAGTCGTCCCGTGACGGAGAACCGTCGCATCAAAGTAGGATCTGACGAGTTACATTCAGTTGCAGAAACTTACTATGTTAAAAAAATTCAGAGAGTTGAGATAGATTGAAAACATTGAGTGATCTCATGGGTCTTACAGTGAGAGAGGTGAAAATGTTCAAGTGTTGTAAGCAACACCCATGAACATGGAGGCCATTTGGGCTAAATAACAAAATTATTTTAGTAGTCCTGGCTCTTGACGAGTTATAATTTCTTATTAGTACCAAACTTAATAATAATTCATTCTTAAATGCACCAAACGAATTTCCGCACTTATTGCAGAAATTCCCTCTTTAACAAATTTATTGAGTTATCATCTTTGAGCTTTGATGCAAGACGAGTTTCAGGAATGTTAAAATGATCATCGATTTATCTCAAGTTGAATGCAGTAATCCGAAAGAAAGCCGAGTTTGTTAATAGAAGTGAAGCAAATAACTGACCTGTAGGCTGTTGGAAGAGCCTCTGCTGTATAGACCCTGCCATGCCTTGTCTTGGTTTGCTCAAGTTGTTGCAGCTTCCGTTAATGCGTTGGAACCGAGCGAACGCGTCGCAAGAGGGGACGCTGCCGTTCAAACTGAATGGAAAGTGAACAGTTTTGACGACTGCATGGCTCTTTAAGCAAAAATTAAAAAATGTAGACATCGCTGCGATAATAAAGGAGTGAAGTTATTCCAGGAGGTCCATAATTATAGTAGATGGGCTGGAAATGTATTGAATTGAATTATGACGGTTTCATTGTACATCGCAATTCTACGAGATAAATCTGTGTCAGCTAATGAGGTTGTGCTTGTATATATATACTTTTTGCACAGTTACTAAGTATCTAGATTATGAACTCACTTGCAAGGATAGGTGACGAGAGCGAGCTGTGAGGGGGAGATAATGGGGGCCACAGATGACGGTCGACCTGATGGGTCCAACCAGTAGGGCGACGGCAGATCGTCACCTGGGCAACAGTCACCACGAATTGGCCGAAATCTATAATAACCATAAAACTCAGCTAAAAGTAAGATGAGAATAAACTTATGCGTATTGACAGAAGCCAATTAATGATTAGTGAAACAGAAATTTTACCGAAACTTGATACATCTTTGGTTTAATTTCATGACCTGGGACAGTGTCTAGAGCAGTGGTTGCCAAACTTTTGAAGGCTGGCGCCCCCTTGGTTCTTCAGTGAATTCCTAGCGCCCCCCTACAGCCAATTAATATTCACATAGCGCCCACCACAGACACACAAAAACCCAAATTTTGAGTATTACAAAAATTTACGCTAAAAACCCAGGAGAAGTTAAAAAAACCCAGATCTGGGTGGAAAAATCCATCGCTGGGAGCCGTGCATTGCTGCAGGTGTTGAGTAAAAATCGTCAAACAAACGTTCGAACTTCTGACTTCAACTTCGGACTGCCGCCCCCCTACCGCCCCTTTCTTCCTCACCGCCTCCCTAGATTTTCCCATCGCCCACAGGGGGCGGTACCGCCCACTTTGAGAAAAACTGGTCTAGACTCTAGAGCAACGAGGTTTAATACGTTGACCGACACAATAGACGAGCATAATAGTCAAACATGATGTAGAAACAAGATGTACAAAAGCGATGGTCAAACAAGATGTACAAACAAGAAGTACAAACAAGATGTACAAACGGGATGGTCAAAAGCGACGGTCAAACAACGTAGGCCTTCCTGATGCGGCCCACCATACCCTACCTTGCGCCTCAACCCAACGCTTAGGTCATTGGCCTGCTGGTCCAGGCTGCGGTCCTCCATGGCCCTGGTAGGGTGGCCCAGTCAGGGGCAGGGTGGCCCAGTGGTTAAAGTTCAGAGTACCAAGATTTGCGCAGAGAGGCGCGGGTTCGATCCCAGCTCTGTGTGTTAGTTTCTGGTCAGAATCCGCAAGGAGGCCGGGTAGTTAAGCTAAGCAGAATTGTAGCAGTGAATTGCGAGTTCGAGACCGCAAAACGCTGTGAATGTTCTGCGATGTTAAGAATCGGTGACAGACCTATGTCCTAATGAACGCTGAAACCGCTATTATTATTATTATTATATTATTACCTTGCGCCCCTCTTCGACGATGAGGTCTATGGCCTGCTGGCCCAGGCCGCGGTCATCCATGGCGGGGTTGGCGAGCCAGCGCTGTGCCTGCTCCAGCTGCCCCGCCACGGTGTGCGCGGGCTGCCCTACGCCACTGCGCTCCATGGCGCCCACCGCTCGCGTCACCGCCCCCGTCAGCTCCCCCAACTTCTGCTCCAGGCTCGCCGCCAGTCCCTCGCCCTGCAATTCCATTATTGTTATACATAATAAGACAAGAAATTGATAAATTTTGAAGTGTCAAAATGATGCAATACATTGCATATGGTAGATCGCCCTGTCATGTATATTACAATATTGTTACAATGCATGACCTTATGATGAGTTTAGGACTTCTTAGTCCACGGTCACGCTGATGCGCCGCCTTCGCCGTCCTCAGACGAAGGCATGTTGAGTTCACCAGCTAAGCTGTGTCCACGTAATCATGTTATGTCATATGATGTCACGTGATGTCATGTGATGTCATCTCTATAGTACGTACTGGTAACAACAGACCACGCTTATATTATGGAATTATCGAAGCCTGCTAGCACGGCATCTATAGTCCCTCAGCTGTTCCCACAGGAGCGCGATATCCTATAGGAGCGTTCATACAGGACCGTCTTGATATAGGAACGCACCTGGGGGGTGGCGCCCTTGCCCTCCTGCCGCAGTTCACAGAGGGCGTCAGCCATGGACGAGATGTCAGACGCCAGCTTCCTGATGACATCGCCGTCAGGAGGAAGGGCGCGGTCAGCCACGCGACGTGCGAGCTCCAGCATCTGACGGAGGGACTTCTCCCCCACGCCCCCACGCAGGGCTTTCGGGTCCTGCACGTCAATTTACGATATTCATTTCATAGTCGTTTTGGTTTGTAATGTTTTTATTTACGATCAATATTGTTGATATTTTTCAGCACAAAAATGCCGCACCGTACATATACTGCTAGCATATTACCTTAACACACTATACACACCACACTCTACACACACNCCTAATGAACGCTGAAACCGCTATTATTATTATTATTATATTATTACCTTGCGCCCCTCTTCGACGATGAGGTCTATGGCCTGCTGGCCCAGGCCGCGGTCATCCATGGCGGGGTTGGCGAGCCAGCGCTGTGCCTGCTCCAGCTGCCCCGCCACGGTGTGCGCGGGCTGCCCCACGCCACTGCGCTCCATGGCGCCCACCGCCCGCGTCACCGCCCCCGTCAGCTCCCCCAACTTCTGCTCCAGGCTCGCCGCCAGTCCCTCGCCCTGCAATTCCATTATTGTAATACATAATAACACAAGAAATTGATACATTTTAGAGTGTCAAAATGATGCAATACATTGTACGTGATAGATTGCCCTGTCATGTATATTGCAATATCGTTACAAGGCATATTGAGTTCACCAGCTAAGCTGTGTCCACGTAGTCATATGATGTCTCTAGATGTCAGGTAATGTCATCTTGTATACCCGTAACCACAGACCACGCCTATATAATGGAACTATCGATGCTTGCTAGCACGGCATGGCTAGTCCCACGGCTGTTCCCCCAGGAGCGTGATATCCCACAGGAGCGTTCCTACAGGAGTGTCTTCATATAGGAGCGTTCCTACAGGAGCGTCTTCATATAGGAGCGTTCCTACAGGAGCGTGATATCCTACAGGAGCGTTCCTACAGGAGCGTCTTCATATAGGAGCGTTCCCCCAGGAGCGTGATATCCCACAGGAGCGTTCCTACAGGAGCGTCTTCATATAGGAACGTTCCTACAGGAGCGTCTTCATATAGGAGCGTTCCTACAGGAGCGTCTTCATATAGGAGCGTTCCTACAGGAGCGTCTTCATATAGGAGCGTTCCTACAGGAGCGTCTTCATATAGGAGCGTTCCTACAGGAGCGTCTTCATATAGGAGCGTTCCTACAGGAGCGTCTTCATATAGGAGCGTTCCTACAGGAGCGTCTTCATATAGGAGCGTTCCTACAGGAGCGTCTTCATATAGGAGCGTTCCTACAGGAGCGTCTTCATATAGGAGCGTTCCTACAGGAGCGTCTTCATATAGGAGCGTTCCTACAGGAGCGTCTTCATATAGGAGCGTTCCTACAGGAGCGTCTTCATATAGGAGCGTTCCTACAGGAGCGTCTTCATATAGGAGCGTTCCTACAGGAGCGTCTTCATATAGGAGCGTTCCTACAGGAGCGTCTTCATATAGGAGCGTTCCTACAGGAGCGTCTTCATATAGGAGCGTTCCTACAGGAGCGTCTTCATATAGGAGCGTTCCTACAGGAGCGTCTTCATATAGGAGCGTTCCTACAGGAGCGTCTTCATATAGGAGCGTTCCTACAGGAGCGTCTTCATATAGGAGCGTTCCTACAGGAGCGTCTTCATATAGGAGCGTTCCTACAGGAGCGTCTTCATATAGGAGCGTTCCTACAGGAGCGTCTTCATATAGGAGCGTTCCTACAGGAGCGTCTTCATATAGGAGCGTTCCTACAGGAGCGTCTTCATATAGGAGCGTTCCTACAGGAGCGTCTTCATATAGGAGCGTTCCTACAGGAGCGTCNGGTGTTGGGTGGTACAATGGAGGGTGTTGGGTGGTACAATGGAGGGTGTTGGGTGGTACAATGGAGGGTGTTAGGTGGTACAATGGAGGGTGTTGGGTGGTGCAATGCGGGTGGTAAATGTTACCATTGGAGGTGTAGCTATTACCATGGGGGCGGTAGCTCTTTTTATACCCGCTTAGCAGGAGTCAGGGCCTAGAGGTAATTTTTCGTCATCTTCATACTCATCAAAACATTGACGATGTCTAGATGGACATCATCATGATCATGTCCACTACTGCCAGCATACTAGCGTCCATCATACAACACCACACGGCGGCCACACACTTGTGAGGCAGACGACAGCAAAGCTTCGGCCGCCTTCTTGTGTCCACCGCTGCTGCCGGCGGCCACCATGCGCGCGGTCTTGGCCGCACGGCCGCTAAAGGCGGTCAGGTTGCGGGCGCGTTCGTCGAAGGTCTGTGTCCGCCCGGGGGTGTCTGGGGCATTAGAAAGACACGTTATAGACACGTCATGGAGACGACACGACACGACTAGGACACGTAATCATCACTCGTCGCAACTCAGTTTCCATCAGCTCTTTTTTTTTATTCAGCTGTCCACCATCAGCAGACAACATCAATAATAGTCTAATCACTTAAAATGTCTATAGCTTCACAACAAAATATCTTGTCCACTCCAAACTTCGGGGTAAGCTTAAGGCAACTTAGTGTATCATAGCCTAACTTTTTATAATGTCTATAACTTCACAACAAAATGTCTTGTCCACTTTAAGCTGCCTAAGTAAGCTTCAGGAATCTTATTGTAATTAAACTCTACAGTCAGCAGCACAAGAGGTTCACCTTCAGGAGCGAGGGTGGCGTCGGTGAAGAGCTTGAGGGGCGTGGCGATGTCAGCGAAGTCCTCGACCATGCGGTCGACCACCGCCTTCTGGATCTTCGTCTTGAGCTGCTGCAGCTTGCCTGACAGCGCCCTGCACCAAATAAACCTTATAGATCTTCAAAATGCTCAATTGTTTCTTTGTATTATAATCGAGTTCTATATCTCCTTAATTAAACTTCAAATTGAGAACTGTACATTACGGATCCATAATTACAATTTCGTGATATTAATTAAGTATTCCTACGCACGACCAACGCATGCGAGATGAGATGCATGAGCAGCACAGAGGCCCCAAAGTTTGGAGTCACGGAGCCCTCCACATAACAAAAAAAATTGATTTGTAAAATGATTTCTATTTCTAAAAAGATTTGTAACATGATTTCTATAGCATATTGAAACGAAGAACAAGTTGAATACACACTTTTCTTTTGTTGCTTCTCTCACAGAAGATATTCAAATGTTATCTGTTGATACGCTAGATTAGGTACATGATAAATAAAGGCTACATTTTTACAGTAATTCTGCACCAAATTTAAGCAAAAATTTGTATCACCAAGTCAGCTACTGCAGCCTGTCAAGCAGTGACGCTTTGATATTTAATTAAAACTATTCTTGGAGCTCTAAGCTAACAT